ATTCTAAATTAAACATGTCATATTACATACTAGGTTAAGTCCCCATATATTTAGTCCAGTCGGGCATTTAACTCAACCCTCGACTTGGCCACCAAGAAAATGTCATTAACAAAAAGCATACATCTAGGCACCTCCCCCAGATCCTAATAGACATCTCATCGAAGATCAATGCAAAAATGTAGGGGCTAGGAGTTGGACCCTGGTTTAGGATGATTTCTACCGAGAAAGTCAAGTATAGAAAACAAGAATTGCAAACAATCTTTAATATCAAACTTTTCTTTGATTAATTGGAAAACAACTTAAAACCAAATTGTAATTATACAATCTCATATCTCCCTATCGGCTAAACAAGATGTGAGTATATATAATATATATATATATATATATATATATAATATATATATATATAATATATATATATATATATATATATATATATATATATATATATATATTCTAATTTACCAACTTGTAAATAGAATTATATTATGACTCTATAACCAACTTGTCAAAGTCCCAAGTTTACATGGTCTCCAATTCCTACTCGTCTTAGGATTCCAACAATCACCCCCTGAATCTCTAAGTCATTCTCGTGTGGATGTGTTTACTCCTACAATGAAAAACATATAAAGCAATTATCCTTCAGCAAAACAACAAGAAAATCCGAAAATCCCTGACGCTCCGACTCGCCGAATCACTCACTGGACTCGCCGAGTCAGTTCGAACAGAGGGCCAGAAAACGTTTCTCAGCAAATAATCAATCATAACATCACATACAACAGAAACCAATCAAGGCTTTGATACCACTCACGGATTTTAAGCATAAGAACAATCCTATGTGCTCATACAAACTCTAATGCTTGGATCTAGGTTTCTCTATTGTACATGCAATGAATCCAAGACTAGCAAACCCTAATCTAGCATACACAATTTCGAAATTAGCTAATTACATCAAATCTAGATGTTTACCTCTTCAAATTGTAGCTTGAATCTTCTTCTCTTGAGCTTAGAGTCACAACTGTAACTCCTCTAGTGGATTACAAACACCACAAGCAAGAAGGTAACTTTGAGAGATGATGGATGTGACAACCCGATATTTCGAGGCAATATGATGGAACGCAAGTCAATTTTAGGTTAAAATTTAACTTTACTAAAATCTTATTTGGGTTAAATAAAGTGGTCGGAATCGTATCAAGGTTTTCGTACATATAAAGAACCCTAAAATCCGAGTTATAATGAAGAAGTTATGACCAACCGAAGATTCTCAGCAAAACCAGCAACACTGATAGACGTAAAACGCGAAGTTTCAATACAATAATTTTTAGCCTTAGGTATCTAAATGAAAGTTTTAGATATCATTAAACCGTAAACGTACATAAAAAGAACATCCAAATCTGACTTCGTATGAGAAAGTTGTGATTTTTCTAAGTTACGAATATAACAGTAGACAGCTAAAAATTCGAAATAGAGATCGAGAGACTTTTAGTCGACACAAACTAAATAAGAATCGAAGGGGTCAACAATACTAGCGCAACGGTAAAAAGTCTGATGAAAACGGACGTCGGATGAAGAAGTTATGGAACTTTAACGGACTTTTCATGTCCCGACCTCTTAAAAATAAAGTCAGAATTAGCAGACGGAGTCTAAACGAAAGTTGTAGATCGTAGTCTCACCTACGCGTGGATAAAAAGAACGTCGAAAACGGAGTTCGTATGAGGAAGATATGAATTTTTGAAGTTTATTAAATAATTAAAATATAAATTTAATTAAAATCCGGTATTATCCGAAGGAGGAGTCATCGGACCAATCTAGGTTACGCCCAACATACCTTCGTACGCCCAACGTACTCGAATGCTAGGCTTCGACTCTTCCACGTCGCTCCAATGCTTCGACCGAGGATGCGGTCATGCCTGATGTTGTGTACGCCCCGCGTACTCTCGTTCGCCCAGCGTACGCGAGGCTTTCAGCCACTATAAAAAGGATAAGAGGGTGCCTGCCATTTTTGCTCATTTCCTCCCTTTCTAGTGTCGAAGCTCTGCGTCTAAACCCCTGAAGCCATCCCGAAGCCACGATTTTGATATCGAGGTTTGGAAGGAAGTTTTATGCTCCCGAGATTCCCGAGAAACCCGAGAAATCCGCTTTCTCGAGTAGAAGTTCTGCTCGGTTTTTCGTCTCGCTTTCTTCAATCAATCAAGTGAGTTCATACCCCTATAATCCACACTTTTAAATGTTTTATAAATACTTTTATATGCTTTTAAGGGGGGATACAAGTAAAACACTCGATTATTATCGTGTGTTATATAAAGTTTCATTATACACTTTTTATCAATGGAATCATATGTGATTCATAACCATTATAGGGAAACTTTTGTATGCAAAATATACCACGATAACATCTTATCTTTTGAAATAAGAAATGATTTATGTATATATGTAAATCAAACACTCTGCTTATACTGTATGTATATGTGTCCATCTTTGGCACGAAAAACATCAATCTTTTGCTATACTTGTTTTTAATTAATCAATCTTATGGGATTTATAACTAGTATACAAATGGATTTACTACACGTTTAGCAGTTTCACCAAACATAATACTTCAAATGACTTCTTAAACGTTTTTACATGTTTAAAACTCTTTATCACACTGTAAGTTCCTTTCAAACTCTGTTACATGGGTGTTTTCAAACAAAGATTTTCCTTATACTTAAACTGTCTTATCAAACAAAATACTTTCAAACGTTTTATAAACTGACATCAAGTCGATCTTTTCTTAGATATTAATCTTTTTCAAAGGTTTTACAAAACTTCTTTTATGCTTTTATATTATCAAATGCATGCTCATATATGTATAGTTATATAAGTAATGTTTAAAGGACTTAGGGAGGCTAACTCATTCTATTTCCTTTTCCTCGTTGGGATGTGGCTATGGGATATCGGTTATCCGTCCGAATGTCGTCTAAATATTAGTTATATATATATATATATATATATATATATATATATATATATATATATATATATATATATATATATATCATGTGTACATATGTAGACATAAAAGTTTTCCTCAGTCAGTTCGGTACCTTTGGGTAGCAAAGGCATACTTCAGGTTATACACGTACATTACTAGTAACTACAATAGGTACATTACGAGTTGGAGGCCCTAACTCGTCAAGTAGAAATTGAGATAGCCATGCGGGTTTTAGAGTACCCTCGACGAGTTGGAGGACCCAACTCGACGAGTAAGAGCTGAGCGTGAAAACCCTAATTTTCAAGGTTTGCACCCTATTTAAAGGACCTTAAGTCCTTTACACCGCCTCCCTCATCACTTTATCACCCTGAGAGAAACCCTAATCGAGATATCATCCACTGAAAGAGAGATCGAGGCTAAGAGTGTGTATTTTGGTGCATTCTTTGAAGAAGCTTGAGGAGGAGTAAAAGGCTTGGAACAAGAAGGAGTCTTTGGAGCCGACATTTTTTCAGTGTTAGCAGCCATTTGGAGGTAAAAAGCCACTAACTTGATCACTTGTTTGTTAAATCTCTCCATTAGAGAGTTATGGCAATTTTTAGCATTTCCCTGAGTCCTTATTGGTTTTAAGCTTACCTTGAAGCTGAGACTTCAGATCTGGACATTATTAGACCCTTTAGGCCTAAAGGCTCGAGCTTTATCCAGTTTTGGCCAACTTTCATACCTTAAACCCTTTGTTGAGCTTTGGTTTGGCAAACTTAGCCCTAGATGCCATGCATGGACATAAAGCTTGCAACTTTATGTGGTATTTCAGCCTTAGGAGGCTAGATCTAGAGTTTTGGGCCTGATTCTTGCTTAAAGACGTCTGAATGATAGAATGGCTTGAAGGAACTCGATGCGTTGGTGAGCCAACCCGACGAGTTGGTTAGGGTTTCCCCCCGATAGTTTAGATGTGTTACAAACTCGGTGAGTTGGTGAGACAACTCGGCGAGTTGAGTTGGATTTTCCCGATATTTTAGAAAAACGAAGGAACTCGACGAGTCGCATAGATGCACTCGATGAGTTGGGTCAACATGGACTATTGACTTGAGGGTTGATTCTGTTGACTTTTTGGGTTTGGTCAAGTTATGGGCTTAGGAGACCATAGAGGGGTAAAATGATCTTTCATCCTTTTCGGGAGTTGGTAAAGGAATAGTTTAACATCATTGGAGTTGTTATTATAAATTGTTAACTACAACTGATTGTGATATATGTAGGCGGAGTCTAGGCCTACCGTTGAGTACGAGACATACTTGCTTACTTACGAGGTGAGTCTTCTCACTATACTTACCTGAGTGGTAATACTGTGTGACCAGAGGATCTTATTTGAGTTATTGATCGGTGGGTCTTATGTGCTTATACTGAGTTATGTGATATCATGCATTTTGTCTTTGTAATTTATGTTGTATATTATTCTACGCCTTATTGAGTTAGGACCGGAGGGTCCAAACCAAGTTGTGAGACCGGTAAGTCCTCACTGAGATACCGGACTAGAGGGTCCAATATGAGTTGTGAGACCGGAGGGTTTTTACTGAGACACCTGACCAAAGGGTCCTTATCGAGATATAGCTATGAGAGACTAATTATTTGTGTGTGGTATTTTTGGGAACTCACTAATCTTCGTGCTTACAGTGTTGCGTAAAATGCATTTCAGATACCTCTCAGGATCGCGGGAATGCACCGACGTGATTATACACATCAGCTTGAGATTATGTTTTGAGGATTTGGGGATATTGTCAAACATTCTATTGTCTTGTGTTTTGAACAACTTATAAATTTGGGTTAGAGAAATGTAAAATTGTGTTTTTTGTGGTTTAAAAATGAAAATTTTATTTGAAAATTTAGAATGTTACATGATGATATCTAGAAGTGAAAGATCGTCTCATATCGGAAGAGATGTGAGTGAAAACGTAAAGTTTGGAGGTGAAATTGCTAATATTATGAAATTAAAGTGGCCAAAGTGAGATATTTGACAATTTGAAGATAAGCCAAATAAAAGCCTATCGCGTTCGCCATAGACGCTAGCACAAGCTGCTCTCCATAGCTCACAAGCTCTGCAGTATGCTGACGCTCTCATCTCCACCTCTTCAACTGAAGCCTTCATTTCCTTTTCCACGTAAGTTTCTCCCGCCTCTCAGACGCAGATATTGATGGATTGAAATTATAATTTTGAAAAACATTCCAAATGACTGATGAAATGTCTCAAAGAAAAGTGTAAGATTTAACCTTTTTGTAAGCAATGCGATGTACAGATTAAGTAATATAGTGTATAGGATCATATTTCTTTCATCATTCTTGAAGAATCAACCTCACTGTATTTGGGAATTGGGAACTTTGGTAAATTAAGTTTCGATTTTGATTTAAAATAACTTTAATTTCATCGATGAAATCAAATATGAACTTTTTATATTTCCAAGATAGGTTAGATTATATCATCAACTTTTATGACATAATTTACTAGAAATAAACTACCATAAACAATTCAAATCCATTTTAAAGTAAAGAATGCATTTCTCTCCAAACAACCTAACGAAGAACAATTCCTTTTTTACCCCTGCTGCTAGTACTTACAGCTTAAAACATGTAACATGCAGATAGATCCCTCACATCTTTTCCTACTTTAGTAGATATTTCAAATCAAAAAAAGTATTCTCTCCATTGTTGCACAATTTGCAACAATAAAGACGAAAGGTAAAAACATGAAATAACTTTTTATACATTTTTCTACTTCCTTTAACAAGTTGTTTAGTTTCTTAGTAAAAATATGTCATGCATTGCTAGAGAACAGAATGGAATCATGGAGAATTTGAAGGGTAGACGACTCCTTGTGTTTCTTGTCTCTTCAAGCTTATTTCCAACTTTGCCCTCAATTGGGAAAACAAAGATGAAGAACCCATATGACGAAAAACGTCTACTCGAACAAAATAAAAGGGTTCAGAGAGAAAATAATGCCCCCGATGAGTTCCCAAGTTTTGTTCGAGAAGGTCTACCCTAATTTTTTTTTTCTTATCTTTTATTTATTATGGTGGATAAATGGAAGAAATACATTCATTTCATTTCTTCGAATGTTAGTTTCAAAGATGTTGACAATTAGCTTATTGAATATGATTTAGGGTTTGAGGTTAAAGTGGTTGCATCAGACAACTATGTAAAGCGAGATTCCGGACTTATATACCGTGACTTTGTAGTTGGAACCGGTGATGTCCCAAAGTCTGGTCAGCAGGTTTTTCCATTTCTCCGTATTATTTTTCTTCCAATTTTATCTACGTTCAAGAAATAGCAATGTACTTTCATTTATTGATTTTTGTTTTTTTTTGTAGGTGACTTTTCATTATATTGGTTACAATGAATCCGGGCGTCGTATCGATAGTAGTTATCAACAAGGCACTCCCGCCAAAATACGCATGGGCACCAATGCATTGGTCCCAGGTAAAGTTTTTTTTTTTTTTTTTTGAAATAGTTTCGTACTAAATGAGCAATGTAATTTACTTTTTTTCCATAATAGGAACATACTTATATGTCTTTACATATGATAGTGATATAGTTTATTTTTTCTCTTCCCTATAATAGCAATGTAGTTATATTTTGCTACAAATATGCGCATTGTAGTTTGTTTGTTGTGTATATTGCTATTATCAGTAAAGAAATGAAATTATGTTGCTATAATTGTTAAAGAATAGTAAGTATAGAAAATGTAAGAAGAAAGTATTGTTTGCTAAAAAAGAGTATAGGACATTGCTAATTTTTAGAATTTATAAGTTAGAATTCATATTTATAAGTTAAAAATAAAGTACATTGCGTATATTGGTATAGGATTTGAAGAAGGCATAAAAGACATGAAACCTGGTGGGAAGAGGAGAATCATCATTCCTCCAGAACTTGGACCTCCAGTGAGTTAATTTTTTCCTTAGCCATTTTGTATTTTTTTTTATAAAAAAATCATGAGCTTTTTTAAATTGTAATCTTATTTTTCTAAAAACCACGAGAATCTATATATTTTCATTATAATCTTATTTTAGATTTAGTTTGATGATTATTTTTTCTATTTTTATTAATCACAAATTTAACAATTTTTATCAAATAATGTATAGTGCGTAGTTGTAAAAAAAAAAAAAAAAAAAAAAAAAAAAATCGTTATCAAACATGACCATCTAACGTGCATTACCTTTATTACTCATGAGCGACTTAATAGTTAAAAATGTATCCACGTGGTGCTGACTTGGCATCCATGTGGACCTTTTATTTAATGTCTAGGTATAGGTAACAAACCACTTGCTTTCATTACAAAACACCGTTGTTTTTTAAAAGTACTATCAAAAGGTAAGCAATTGAAACGTGACATAATACCCTTAAATTTGTGAACGATACTTTTATTTTATTTTATTTAAAACAATAGTTTTTGTAAAATAAGAAATAGTTAAAATCTATAAATTCTCAACACGTATTAAGACTTATTGAGTATAATGTAAGAATTTAAATTTGAAATTTATGAGGCTATTACAACATTGAATCAATAAGTACACACTAGTGGAAAAGTTTGAATTTAAATTTATTAGGTTTGACTCTTGAAAGTCATTTTTTAAAAATTTGTAGGTTGGGCCTTCTACATTCTTCAGCGCAAAACAATTTGAAGTTTTTGATGTGGAACTACTTGGTGTTAAGGATTGTACAAGGAGAACCATCGCATTTTACTCTGATGTCATATGTGATTAAATTCACAAAGAGTTTTAGTAGCAATTTTGTACATCCATTTCAATTTGATCTTGTTAAAAATGTGTAATGTATTCATTAAATATAGTGTTAGATCATATTATGATTTTAGTTCGTAGTTTATTTTGGTTAAATTGTGTCTTTATAAGGCGTCTAATACAATCTCATCCAAAATGCATCATGTGAGATGTTAGGAGTACGTTTGACAGAACTTTTAAACTTTAAGCTTCAAAGAAAAACCTCAAATTAAATTTATATAAAAAACACACTTTGTTTTGAAAAAGCTTAAAGCTTTTATTAAAAAAACTCATAATTTAAAAGCTACTTCCCCTAGTTTTTTAGGAGATTTTAGGTTTTAAGATCTCTTAGCTTTTAGTTTTTACGTAAATTCACACCTTTCAAAATCTTATAGCTACTTTTGCAAAACACTTCCATACAAATAAAAGCTTCATCTTTAAGCTAAGCGCTTGTTTTGCCGAATATACCCTTAGGTCTAAGGGTGATCTTTGTATTCATTTTGCATGTGTAATTGCTACACAACAAAAGATGGAACTAAACAAGGAGGTCAATGTCTTTAAAAAATGAGAGATTAAAAAGGAGTCTTTGTCTAGTCTTTTTGGTTGAGACAAAAATTTGCAATTTTTGTCTCATTGACATCAGTCTCAGTCCAATGCAGCAGTCTATCGTGCTTTACTATTTTAACAAACCGTGGATACACATGACTAGCAAACTTATATAATTCATACTAACAGTTATTCGGTTTAAACTTATATACAAAAATACAAAAATTATAGAGCTTCTTCATCAGGGGCTTTTTGGTAAATAACAGTTTCACGATCGGTTACAGGATTAGCATGATATTGCCCGTAAAAAGCATATACACCAACCGCCACAATGCTCAGGACAATAAATCTCATCCAGGCTTCATAGTGAAGCTGAAGATTTAAAAGTTAAAATCAATTAATATATAACAATATATATTTATAATAGTGTTGATGTAAAAAAAAAATTGTATTTTGATGACATTGCTATAACTGGGTGGATTTCTCAAAGTACAATTTTGTAATATGAACATATTAATGAAATTACTTGTGTAGTTGTGTTTTTTTTACTTGATGAAAAAAATAATGACTTAATTGAGAAAGGCATGGGAAAGAATGCTTTTCACATTTAAGTCTTGTCCTTCATTTATTTTTTTCTTTTGATTTGCCCAAATGTGTTGTGATTTTCTCAATTTTTTTTTTAAAGATCAATTATCAATACAATAATTTTTAATATGGTTTTGTTTTAGGGTTAATCTCATAAAAGACCTTATATTTTGTGTTTTTTCCGGATTAAAACTCAACTTTCTTTTTTTTTTTTATGAAAAAGACCTTGTATTTTTTCATTTTTTCCGATCTGGACCTTTTAGTGATTTTTCTCTAAAAAAAGTTGTAAAATGCAAGGGTTTTTTCAGCAAAAACTAAAAAAGTTGAGGAATTATTTGGAAACATTTAGAAGGTTGAGGGTTTTTTCTTAAAAAGAAAAAAGACAAAGCTGAGGGTTTTTTTTGGAAAAAAATGAAAAGATATAAGATCTTTTTCTTGAAAAAAAAATAATGATGAGGTTTAATCCGGAAAAAAAAAAAAAAAAAAAAAAACACAAAACATAAGGTCTTTTATGAGATTAACCCTTTTATTATATAATATTTTGTAAGGTTTTTAAAAAGCAAACCTGAGCAAATAAAAATATGTTCACAAAGATGCAAAGAGAAGGCACAATTGGAACCCATGGGCAAGAGAAACCTGATGCTTTTGTTTGTTCCTACAACAATTTTATTAAAAAAAAAAAAATGGATTAGAGAAAAAAAATAAATAATAGTAGTGTAAATTTTTTAAAGACATGAAAGTGTGTTGCTATTTGCTGACCTGGCGAAATTGAAGAGCTGCAGTAGCAAGTAAAGCAATGGCGATTGGAATAATAAGAAATATAAAGGCAAGGGCAGAAACGACATAACGAAAAACAATTCCAGCAGCAAAACCACAAAAAGCAATCACAACAATGCATATGATGCCTTCTTGCCTATGTGTCACTGACACCAACATGGATGATGAAATTTGATTTCCAATATTGTCCTTCCATCGAAGAGTTATTACACATGCTGCCACTACTGAATATCCTGCCTACACTAATTAAAAAAAGTTTCACTTCATCATCTCTCATCAATGACATGACATGACATGACAAGACAAGACAGTTTGTCCTGTGTACTGTGTACTTTTATTGATTTGTTTATTATAGCATTCTACTTTCATTTCTTCCTATTACAACATTGTAGTTTGAATATAAAGCAATTTTCAATGCCATAATTGGTTAGATTTTTCAAAGTAAATGTTTTAATAATAGTAGAATTTCTTAATAAAGAAAATAATGAAAGTACAATGTTGTAATTGTAATAGAATGAAATGAATATAGGATGCTATTTACATGATTTATTGAGTGAAGCTTGGAATATTTATAATTAAAAAAGAATGAAAATGCTTCTTCCCTTTTTTTTTTGTTTTTTTTTTTTTTTTTTGCATAAATCCGAGAAATATCAACATGCTTTGATTTATTTCTGTATTACAGAACCTTGCCTCCATTTCTTTTTGTATTTCTTAATAACGCATTGCACTTTGACAAATCTAACAAATTATAGCATTTTGATGTAAAATTATATTAAAATTATTATTATTATTATTATTACCAAAGAGCCAACTGAGAGAACATGTGAGAGCAAATGCACATTAAGAAGTCCAGCTAAAAGACATGCAATAAATCCAACCCAAATTTGAGACTGAATTGGAGTGTGGCGTGTTGGATGAACACGGGCAAATATTGCGGGTAATAAACCGTCTCTTCCAAGCCCAAGATATAATCGTGACTGTTCATGTCATCAGAAAAAAAAAAAAAAAATTTAAAAAAGTAAGGAATGGAATGAGTGATTACATTCCATGATCATGTTTCGTTCGCTTATAGGAATGGAATGAATTCTCCCTCTCTCTTATATGAATTATTTTATGTTATATACTTATATGTGTGTACAACTGTACAAGGTAAAGTTATCGAATTTATTTTTTTACAAAAATGCAAATTAGACAACAATAGAAGCTCATTAAAAACCGAAATAAGGCTTTAATAATAAAAAATATATATTATATTTGTTTTAAGAAAATAAATGCGCAAAAAAAACATTATTTTTGGGCAGTTTTCCTATTAAGCAGTACACTTTTTTCAATTTAACCATTTTGACCTCTTATATCAGGTCAAAATGATTGAATTGAAATATATATATATATATATATATATATATATATATATATATATATATATCTGAAACTTTTATGTTATTATTGGAAAAAATAAGGTATAAGTAATTAAACCACAAACTTGCCAAAAATATAATAGTTTTTCCGCAATTTACCCAAAATAAAATTATAATTTAATTAAAATCATGAAATCCTTAAAAAATAATTGTATCATTAAAAATTTTACTATGAAAAACAACGGGTTATATTCCATTTTTAATTCCATTCCATAAAAAGAAAAAAAAAAACAACTTATTTTTTCATTCCAATGGAATAACGGATTCCGATTCCATGATTTACCAATAACAATAATTTAAGTTATTGGGGGTTACTTACCTGAACATAAAGGCCAACTAAAAGGGTAGTTGTAAGCCCAGCAACAGCCCCAATGCTGATTAAAGTGGATACAAAATTTAATCCTTTTGCTTTAAAAGCTTCAGCCAAAGGAGCATCTTCTCCAAGAAATTTGTAAGGTATCATTCCAGTGATTACAAGAGAAACACCAATGTATAATGCTACACAAACAACAAGGCTTCCAATGATGCCTATTGGTAAATCCCTCTGACATAATTTCCAAAAAAAATAAAATAATAAGAACATTTATTTGATATAACAGAGTTAATCACAAAAAAAGAGTAAATTACACGAATGGTCCCTATGGTTTGGGGTAGTTTGCATGTTTGGTCCCTAACTTTTTTTTTTTTTTTTAACTCAGAATGTCTCTACAGTTTGTTTTTGTTGCGCGTTTGGTCTCTGTCTTACCTAAAATGACTATTTTGCCCTTGGGTTTTTAATTAGTTAAATAAGGTGGGGTAGGTAAGGTGAGGTGGAAGTGGGGTTGGGAGTGTGTTTATTTAAATAAATTAAAAAATCAATGGCAAAATAGTCTTTTTAGGTAAGATAGAGATCAAGCGCGCAACAAAAACAAACTGTAGGGACCTTCTGAGTTAAAAAAAAATAAGTTAGGGACCAAACATGCAAATTACCCCAAACCATAGGGACCATTCGTGAAATTTACTCCACAAAAAATAACCAAAAGAGGTAAAAAGGGTATAAGTATAAAACCATATAACCACCTTTTCACCATTTATTAAAAGATTACCATATATTTTTGCGGATTACTTTTTTTTTAAATCAAATTTCTTGAAAAATGACGTAATTTCACAAAATAAAAAAATCCCAAAGTTTTTTAAAAGAAACATGGAAGATGGTTTTTTTAAGTGATTATCTATATGTCACAACATTGGGAAAGAGTCACTCATGTATTACCAATGTAGTAAATTTTAGATTCCCCATGCAATAATAATAATAAATTAATAATAAATGTTGTAACCAATTTTTTTAAGTTCCCCATATAACAAATATTTTTAAGTTCCCCATGTAACCACTAGATTGAGTTTTACTATTTTTAAATCTCCCATGTAATGTAACCATTATTCTTTTTTCTAAAAAATATTCACATTTTTTTATTTTGTGATACGACGTCATTTTCACAAAAAAATAAAATTTTGCGAAATATGATGAGCTTCTTTTTAAGAAATAGATAAGTCAATTTGTGATAAATATTGAATAGGTGGACATTTTTCATGTTTGTGATTTAAGTTTATAATATAATATATAATAAGCTTAAATAATAATCATATAATATAAGATACCTGTGGTCTCTTAGATTCTTCAGCTGAATTAGCAACTGCATCAAATCCAACATATGCAAAAAAAGCAACAGTTGCTCCTGTTAACACGGATTTAAAACCATTTGGAGCAAAAGGTGACCAATTTGAATCATCAACTTCAAAA